TAATGGTCCCTTCTGACCTTAAAGTCTATGAGTCTATGAACTTGGGCACAACCAAACACCAGCTTTGAAAAGCCCTTGCATGGCCTCTTTTTTTTGAGCCTCTATGTGGATGCTTGAATTGCTGTCTGTGCCTTCCCAAGCTTTTGAAAATCTTGGAGAATGTTACTTAGAAAAATACTAGAACAAAACAATGCTCATCATACTAATATAATGCAATATTTGTTAAGCATCAGCAGAGTGCTTTTGACTCTATACAAGCACGTATAAGTCCTTATGCTACAAGCTGCGAGTTCCTCCTGGGCAACTGTGTCTTCAGTTCCTGTGGCCTTGAGTCTAATGTTTTTTAAATGAAACTTGAACATGCACATATTCCAGTATCAGTACACCTCTTCACACAGTGGTGTGCAATCTTGTCAAGAGTGAGGGGAAAAAAGATGAAAACATAATAAAAACTTTAAAAAACCATCAACAACAACCAAACACACACTTACCAGCCAAAAGAAAAGAGAAATGCAATTTGCAGCAATCACCTTCAAAATGGCTTCCTTATGGCTGCAGCCCCTTTTGTCTCCCAGATTTAAAGGGCCCCCAACCAGAAAAGCAAGCTGAGACAGACTCTATAAAAGGGTGAACACACATAGAAGAATTCAGTGGTAACCAGGTAGTGGTAAAGGAAGTCATTCTTAGCAAAAGGCTTGAATATCTTTCAAAGGATCATTTTCCAGGTACAAATATTCTAAGATGTGATGAGTTGGAGCATTTTAGATAACTATGTAATTTGTTTCCCTTTTGTATTATGTTTCTATAATAAAAATCCAGATCCTTTTGAACAGCAGCTGCTGCTTGTATTTAGCGTTTAATACCACTGCATCACATCTTTCTCCAAATGTATGGAACCCCCTGTGCATAAGTCTTTCTCCACCACCCAAAACATAGATTCTTCCTACTCTGTAGTATAGAGCCATGATTTACCCCAGAACTGTTGAGATCTCCACACAAAATTTATAAATATTTCTAGCCTGAACATGACAAATGGCCATGACTCAAAAAACTGGTCTGAAGCTTTTGGAGGCAGGCTTTCACAGCTTGCATTTACTGATTGTAGTGCAATACCACAGTTGGTAAAGGATGTTCAGGTTATAGCCTCATGCACAGACCACTAATAGAGTCAGTGGTTTGACAGTCTTAATTAATGGTGAATGCACACTGCTGGACAACTCCAAATCTCATTGTCATAGTATGACCCTGGAAAGACCAGAAAACACTAACTAAGTGGATTCATGGTTAGAATTCAATGACTACCAATAGCTAATATTTTATATGCCATAAAATAATAAAGGGAATTTGTCACATTGATTCTGCTAGAATCCTAACACTCCTTTTTTTTTTTGAAATCTTGTATTATTTTACCACCCAAGGCTGTGATCATGGGGGCCTAAATAGGTGAGCCTCAGCATGAGAGTAGGTACTGAAGTAAACTGGTGATGAATAATAACCTTTATGCTTACTGATCTTGTTATATAGCAGGCTGATGTTCTTCACCAGTGATATTGGGCCCAGTTATATTTTGCACATGAGAATAAGGAATGGAACCTATCTGCCACTATCTGAACTGTCAAAAGCCTCTTGTTTCTGAAAAACTGGATAATGTGTCACTCCTTACTCTTTTCTTGGCCTTGTTTCATTGTTATTGGACTATCAATAGGCACACAATTGCAGACTGCAGTGCAATAGTCTAGCCTTTCCCCACTGGTCTGCTGGAATGACTCCATACACTGGGTGATTTCCCATCATATTGGTAACAACAGAAAGTCCATTTTCCCAACAGGCTTTCCATTTTGTAGGGCCATGAGGATTTGACAAATTCCTGACAGGTATACCAATCCCCTGGAGAAAGAGCTGTACTACACACTTTGCAATGAAAGTAAGCTTTGTATCTGACAGCTGTGTGATGGGTTATGCCCCTCAGTAAGCCACCTGATGTGCTGAGATACCACTGAGTCTACCTGTTCTGCCAGCATGGGCCCCCCTTTAACCTGTCTTGCTGAGCCTGGCTATTAAAGCCTCCTCTAACACACACAGGCAGGGCTACACCCAGCTGCAGATCAGCTCTGGGAAGACTCATCTTAAGGGACTAACCCTTTCCCCTTCAGTTCAGTTTTTGTTTCCCGGTCTTTTTCAGGGTTTCTTTGCGTGGGGAGGCAGAGGAGACTCCTGATGATTTCACTCCCCTGCCTTATATAGCTCTTGTGTAAGGCCGGAACCCTTTGTCTTCTAGTGGAAAACCACTGGCATTCCAAAAGGGGAGGGGTATCCAGCACCAGGTGACTCGGACCCATGCCTCTGCACTGCTGTGGCAGCCATTGCTCATAGGCTGTCTCCAGCATCCACAGGAAGACTAAGCTGTTTCACAGTCCATTGTTTCTGCTAATGGCCCATTAGCCCTGTCTGGCTTTTCCATTGTTGTACCTGAAGGGCTGGTTGGGGTTGATACCCAAAGTAACACATTTGGAATACAGATACATAGTTAATATTCCTAACTTCAGATACAGAAATGATATAGGCATACAAAGTGGATAATCACATTCAGTAAATCATAACTTTTCCAATGATATCTCACATGAGCCATCTTGCATAAAAACAATGAGGAGTCCGATGTCACCTAACAAATTTATTTGGGCATAAACTTGCATAAAGTACATCTGTTTATGTCATACTCATATCATAAGCATATTTTCATAAGGAATATGGACTGTAATGTCACAAGCTGTTTTACCATTTTGGTGTAGTTGCGTTCTACTTTTGGCTTCACCCCCCACAAGACAAAAGAGGAAAATAGAGGCCAACAATATTAACAGTGCATATTTATTCTTGCCAAAAATCCATAATTCACAGCCTGGAAAGCCACCCCTAAAATCTGGAATGTAGTAATCTGAAAAAAAAAAAGATTGTTACTTTTATGTTGTCCCTTTGCTAGCTGCCCTCTCAGATCCCTTTCCTTATTCACGTTTTTCTTTTGTCTTTCACTTTCATTATTTTCTTTTGTGTCCTTTCCATTGTTTGTTTTCCCTCCTTTCTCTGTATTTCTCTCCCCCCTTATCATAATTTTCTCTTCTCTGCTCTCTAATGCGTCTCTCCTCCACAGGTGCTCCCTTATTTTTTCTCTCACCTCTCCTTCCCCCTTACAAGCCACAGATCACCTATAGTGTATATAGTTATAGGGAGATGCTACTATTCTCTTTCCAAGTACTCCACCTTTCCAAGTAAGGCGACTCCCTCATTGTCTGTTGGTGGCACTGCTGAGTCAGTACAGAGGCAGAACATTACAGCATCTCTATGCTCTTTCTGACGCATGAAGATTCTATATTTGCTTTTTCTTTATCATGTCTCTTAATTTGAAATAAAAGCCACTAACAGTAAGTCTGTGTGTATGGAAAACATGGCGTTCCCTGCCTCCTACTCTCCCTTGTCTGACCTTTTCCTTTGAATCACTCCAGGTGCCCTGAAGCGGAGCAGGGAATTGAGCCAGTGGGCTCATCTGCCAGGTGAATGCCCCAACCACTAGGCTATGGGGCATTGTAGGATGGGTCTTTCTCTCTCACTCTCTTTCCTGCTGGAACTGTTCCACTTGGTATAACTAATCAATATTAATTGGTTCAGAAAAAGAGTGAGAATAACAGCTCAGTAGCTAGGCATCTGCAAGAAGACCCATGTTCAAATCCCTGCCCCACAATGGCGGGAGGGAGGTAATTCAAACCCAGGTCTTCCACTGTCTGAGTGAAGGCTCTAACCTCTGGGGGTCAAGTTAATAAGAGGGACAACTTCTCTTTCTTTGGGAGAAAGGGCTTAGGTGCCTCGCTCCAGATGGTCACCTAGCTCTCCTATGACTAAAGCCCAGTCCAGGCATATTGAAGCTGGTTTTAAGGCTGCCAAATATGTCTTTTTGAAAAGCACCATAGTTATTTAATAAACTCTGTATATTTCATTGATGTCAGTACAGCAAGGGTGAAATCCTGGAGCCACTGAAGTCAGTGGGAAGTTTGCTATGGACTTCAACAGAGCGCGGATTTGACCTCAAATGAAGTCCCTCAGTGTTTCAGGAATACTTTTATATCATTTGCTTAATAAGTGCCTCTACCCATCTTGCCAAGATTTGAAGTCCCAAACTTCTGACTAATTTGGGGATTAAGGCCAGAAAGGGGTATACAAATAAAATAATAGTAAATGTAATGATGGGGTGAGAGTTATTTCTGGACAATAAGTAATGTTTTACAATGCAGGGTTTCTGCCATATAATATTGTAATAACACCAGGTTTGTAGTGGATAAAGGTAAATTTGGCTGTAAAGTGAGAGGCTAGTGAAGAGGTATGCAACAACCATACGTACCAAGGTTAAGCTTTTAAATGTTCAAATATGCCTGAGAATAACTCAGCAGCAGCAGCATGGATGAATAGACTATGTGAACAGAATATAGATTATATTCTTGCAAAGACAATCTTTGAGGAATGATCCTGATAAACACATGCAGATTAAAAGCAATGACAAAGTGAACAAAAAGAGAATACAGACTTAAAAAAAAATTCACAGATGCAGTTTTTTCTGAAGATTTAACAAAACAGAAACCCATAATTTTTGCTATCTTGAAAGATGATGTAGAAATTACCAGCCCATAGATTCTGCTCCTTGTTCCCACAAAGCATCAGACCACACTGCTTCTTTGGGGCCAGCCCCACGCGAGTATGAGGGACAGGTTCTGTGCAACACAGCTCAAGGGGAGTGAGGGCAGAAGGTGGTTTTATGACATGTTTCAGCACTTTTGTTCTTGACTGCTGCAGGAGCCAAAATGGCCCCTGGTATAAATCAGCCCCATAGGCTGTTCTAATTTATGCAGGGTTGCCTATGGGCCTCAGTCATAACTATAAAGGGAAGGGTAACAGCTCTCCTGTGTACAGTACTATAAAATCCCTCCTGGCCAGAGAC